TCACTTGCTTGCTCAAAGTTGTTTTTAGGCACTCCAGCTATAGGCCAGCAAGGTGAATGAAATCCGCCATTATTTGATTGTGTTTGTGTGTGTCTCTGTGCAGTTTCTTTGTTTTTGTTTTTATGTGACGTCATTGTGGGCGTGTCTGTCCTTCTGTCTGTCCTCGTCATGTGACCTCGTCCTGTCGTCATGTGACTGTCACGTGACTGTGTGTTGTGAGAACAGTGAGGAGAATGACACTCCGTGAGGGTACAGCTAATCTCTCTTCCTACGTAACCTCTAGTGACACACCCATTATTCAGGGCACACTAACATTAATCTTGTCTGGTATTGCGTATATTGCATGTATGTAGCCGTCTATATGGGAGAAAGGAGGCATCCTCTTTCACTCACAATTTGATTTCGTCAGAATTTCGCCCTCTCTATGGGAGATGTGTAATGGTTTAAGTGAATGCTAGTTTCTCCTTAATTTAGCTCTTTCTATATGGGAGAGGTGCATTGGTTTAAGTGAATGCTAGTTTCTCCTTAATTTAGCTCTTTCTATAGAAGGGGAGATAAATTGGGTTTTCACACACACTATCGTGCATGAAAAAATGATGTAAGACTAATCTTTCTCTTCCCTCCCATAGAGAGGGCTACATTCAGGGGAAACTACAGGGAGACAGGATTTTGGTGTACCTGGGGATAATTGACATCCTCCAGAGCTACCGACTGAAGAAGAAATTTGAACACACCCTCAAATCTATGATCACCGATGGAGTAAGAGTTTAGCCCTCTGCAGATACTTAACACTTTACGCTTCTCGCTCTAATAGGTACTATATAGAAGAAATTTGATCCCCTTTTTGGCGTGTGACGAGAGTTCAGCTTTTTACACGTGTGTTTAGAATTGCATATTACATTAGTATTACGGTATGGTGAGAACGTGTGCACAAAATCTCGAATTCAGGCAACTTTATATTAGGCTCGCTTTGTTCATCAATAAGCTTGCATGTTAGTACATTTTCTTCATCGTTAACCCTCGGCGCACATGCGCAACGAGGGTTACGGTAGTTGGTTTGTCTGTCTGTCTGTCTGTCTGTCTGTCTGTGTGTGTGTGTGTGTGTGTGTGTCGACGCTTATTCTGGCACTACAGGCTACGAGGCGGCCAATTAGCGATACCAGCGGCTTCAGAATTCATTCATTAGGTAGTATACACATGTGCTAGACATAGGTGTCAGTATTGGGTGTTGTTGTCTTATGTCTGCTCCACAGAACACGGTGTCAGTTCACAACCCGAGCTACTACTCCAGGAGATTCTACGACTTCCTCCAGAAGGTCGTCTTTGTCAAGGAGAAAGGTTCCCTCCTCTCCTCTTTCTCTTTTATCAAATCTTTTCCATTATTCACAACTCGCATATTTGGCGAGCTATGAAGCCCACCTAGTTGTCTGAATGCAAAATTATCAATGTATATAATATCTTTGTTTTATCCGAGATGGTATCACATTACCATAATCTCTTAATTTCGAGCTCATTTTCACTCTCAAAAAATGTTTTTTCCTCATTCTATATCTCCGTTTGTGTGTGTGTGTGTGTGTGTGTGTATGTAGCTAAGGCCAGAGGTCGCAAGGCCTCCAAGTTGCCGGGCGGGGTCAGACGGGTGGTGCAGACAGGGGGTGTGGTCAGAACTCAGAGCATGCCACACAGTCGAGACCGGTTCCACTCACAGCAACATCAGGTCTGACTCTCGTGTTTGGCAACCATGTCTGTTTGTTGAACTGAACTGCGATAATGAATGATAAACTGTGTTGCGGGGAATTTGTCAGTACGTGAGGGCTATATTTAGCAAAGGATGAACTAAACAAGTTGCAATAATGCTTATAATAGCCCTCATTAATACTTTGAAGAGGCCTGACAACTGAGTTTGTGAACATTTTATGGTACTTTGAGTTGTTCATATTTATAGTAACGAGGTTCAACTGCGAACATGCATTTTCCTTCTTATTTTTAGCAGAGGAGACCGGTGGCCCCAGAGCTGTCACCAAACTCCACGGCCACCTTCTCTCCTCCTCCTCTCACATCTGGCGAATCGTCCGCCACTCCGGGGAAATCAAACCTCAAACAAAGTTCCCAGTTTGAGAGAAAGAGAGAAGGTTCTCCTGCGAAGACAACAGCCGACGAAGAAACGAACCTCTTGCCGGAGATCCCTACAATAGAGGTGCTGTCCAGTGGGACCGAGGAAGAAGGGGGAGAGGGTTCAAAGGTCGGGAAGACACCGGTGAAGGGGGTGCGGTTTGCGGACGAGGTGGATGAGGAGGAGGAGGAGGAGGGAGTGAGGTGGGAGGTGGCAAAAACGAGAAACAGTCTACGGAAACAAACGATACGACGTTGCCTGCAGTTTCAGAACTAAGTACTAGTGCAAAGAAAACCGCGGAAGAGGAAGATAAAGATAGAGAAGAAATGATGGAGAGTGTGGATTTTGACAAAGTCACAGGGACAAGTACACCAATCATTGAAGTAAGCCCTGCTCTCGCGAAACGTGGTTTAACCCCAGATAGCCAGGCCTTGACGAGTAGTGCTGACTCGTCATCAGCAGTGGAGGAGAGAGAAGAGGTCATAGTGGCGACAATGGACGGAGAGAGAGAGCATCAGAGCAGAGAAAAAACTATTTCCGAGTCAGGAGAAAGTGAGACTAGCACGGCTGCCGAGGAATGTAGCAAGTTGTAATTTTGATGGTGGGAAATTAGTTTCATGTTGTTTATCAGTTATTATTGTTGTAATAGCTTCATGAAGAGTTTTATACAAACCCAATCAGCTAGCTACTATTGTTACGTGGCGGCGCGCGCGCAATCTGCGCAAAATGCGACGAAGTTTACGAGGGATTTGGACGACTGTTGTTGTGACGTTGGCGGCGTTTTTCGCCGTCTGTAGCACCGACGGAGGTACGAACGTCTCCAGCTATGGAAGTGGAAGCAGTGGCTCCGGATCAGGGGGACAAATACCCGTGGCAATGCTCCCAAGTTAGTACTTTACGTTACCTGTCTGGTCTGGCACCGCGTGCGCGCGACGCAGTACAATACACTGATCACGTGCGCATACTTAGTAGAGCGGCGTCGGTATCCGTTAGTATACTACATACACTGGCTAGACTTTTCGTCTGCAAAACACAATAGTGGTATATATTTGCACTGCCATTCATTGCTAAGCGTTCCGTGACAACAAACACACGTACAGATGTCGTTTCATAGCCTGATAGGCCTAGCTACAATTCTGCCTTACATGAGACAGAGATTTGTATCTCCTGAGCAGCGGAGGTCGTGGTGGGATTTGAGAGATCCAGTGTGTTTGTGAGGGAGGGGAGGAGGAGCGTGGAGCTGTGTGCGGCCATCTTCGAGCCGTTCCAGGCCCCCTTTGCAGAGCCCTTCTCTGTGGCCATTGCCACTGAGGATGGAAATGCCAGTGAGTATACAATATTATAGCTCTCGTACAAAACAATGTAATAGTTATCACTGTTGTGTTGTGAATAGAGTTTTGTTGTTAATGTCCCATAATGTCTTTAGTATGATATTTCTTCAGGGTTCACTCCATAGAATCAGAAGTCCATTTTGTTTCCTTGCTTAATTTTCCCCTCTCAATCTCAGTGACTTTATACATTAAATATTCATAAACATTTTGGTATTATAAATCACCGTTTCCCGTTTCTATTGTCTAGTCTAACCATTTCACATAAGGACATAAGGAATTTAACCCCCAACAGACCCACACACGTTTTAACCCTTAACAACACCAGCCATCTCTCGGCTTTCTCCCACTCAGAGGCAGGGGTAGACTACATGAGCACCAGGCAGGTCCTGGGGCCATTTGACAACACCACACGCAGACTGTGTGCCCAAGTCTTACTCATCGACGACCCTGTCTGCGAGAGCAACCCGTACCCCGAGGATTTCTCTGTTACCATGGTCACCAGTGATGCCAACGTCACCGTGGTTCCCAGGAGGATCGGCGTTGCTATTGACGACAGTGGCGAGCCCGAATGCAGTGAGCAACTTATGAGATATGTTAGTCTATTAAAGGGTTGTGAGCCAGTGATTTTCCCAAACAATCTCTTGACTAACAGTTAATGGGAATATGGCAGTTTTTTAATATAAAGGCTAAATTTTTAAAATAATTCACTTGAGCCCTGTTGCCATTTTAGCAACATTTCTGAATTTAGCTCTTTTACGTACTGCCACATACGAACGAGCTCTCTCTCTCCTCCAGACTCGGTGTGTGTGGGATTTGACAGTACGTCCTACGTGGTCGTGGAGGAGGTCGGGCACGTGCAGGTGTGCGTGAGGGTCCTCTGTCCCGATCAGACCGTCCTGAGAGACGTGTTTGTCCAACTCACCACCTATGGCAACACTGCCAGTGAGTCGTGTAGCAGATTTTGCACGCAGCAGTTTCCAGTATTCGATATTGCAAGTGTACATAATAATAAGTGAGCCATACATTTACGCATGGTTTTGCATGCATACAGGGTTGCAGTGTGTCAATGTTGCAAGCGTCCGTAATAATGCTCTATAGGATTGTTATGTTTTCCACCATTAACCATTGCATCATTGACTCTCCGCTTAATTAACGACGATTCTTTTGTCCTGCTATTACTACCTGCATCTAGTGTGCCTTGGTTACGTATAATACCTGCAGTTATTCCTGCTGCTGTGCCTAAAAGTAGGAGTTTATAATTATAGTCATTCTATTCTCTCAGTACAATCCCATTCTAACACCACTGGTTTACATATTTCTGCAGAATACTGTCTATTTCGGATGAAAAAGTCATGTGCATGAATCATTACAATACATCGAATGCTGAACTGCTTCAACCACTTTCAGTTACACATCAGACAGACAGTTCACTCGACACTTTCTCCCTCCCTCTCTCTCTCTCGTCCCCAGAAGCAGGGAAGGATTTCGTTCTACTGGACCACGTCACGGTGGGTCCACTGGGACCTTACACCAGAAGTCGCTGTGTGGCCGTCGAGATAATAGACGACGGAGAGTGCGAGCGGTCAGAGAGGTTCTACCTCAGTCTGCAATCCTCTGACCCTCTCGTCTCGTTTCCCGTCAATAATGCTCAGGTGGTCATCGATGGCACAACTGAGTTTGACGATTGTGGTGTGTATTATAGCACTAGCTGAAAATTTAACGTATCGGATTAAAGGGATTGTGGCAATATTGCAATAAGGACCCTGCTACTGAAAATGGAAAGTTTATTACATTCTTGCACTGGGCCTTATTGTTTAGCTCTGTCTTTAGTGTACTAATTAGTGAGTGTTACAAGCTAAACAACTTGCGACATTCTTAGATCAGTATGTATAATTATCAAAAGCATACGTTGACATGAAATTTTCCACTGAATGCTGTTAAGTAGTCAATAATGATAGAGCAGTTCTTCCCCCATCCCCAGCCAGTGTAAGAGCAGGGTTCATCCAGACTCACTACGAGGTGAGAGAGAGCAATGGAATTATCATGGCGTGTGTTGGAGCTTTTGAACCGGAGAGGTTTGGAGCTCGTTTCAACCTGACCGCCAACACCAGAGACGGCACGGCAAGTGAGAGATGTACACAGAGAATTTTCTTTTGTAACATTTTGCCAAGTTTTGATTTCGAGGCTTACATGGCTGATAAGAATTGATCCTATGCTTCTGAGGGACACTTTTTATAGCTTTTAAGGCAGAAAAACGATGAAAACTCTGGCTGAAGCCCTGATCAAACTTATACCAGTACATGCATTGTCTGTAGTATATACAGTGACTGAAATCAACAGAAGTTCTGTCAGTGTCTCTCTCTCTCCCTCCCTCTCTCTCCCTCCCTCCCTCCCTCCCTCTCTCCCTCCCTCCTTCCTTCCCTCTCTCCCTCCCTCCTTCCTTCCCTCTCTCCCTCCCTCCCTCCTTCCCTCTCTCCCTCCCTCCTTCCTTCCCTCCCTCCCTTCCTCCCTCCCTCCTTCCCTCTCTGCACCTGTCTGTAGGAAGAGGAACCGATTACGTTCCTCTGGTGGGCGTGTTGGTGGGTCCGCTGGACAGAACCTCTCGAATTAAATGTTTTCCAGTGACGTTCGTCAACGACAACGTCTGTGGGGACGACCCTGGAACTTTCTTCACGATTGAACTCTCGACACACGACGATCATGTCTTTGTGTCTCCCTATGCCACCAGAGTGTACATCCAGGAGGCCATTGACTGCAGTAAGTAGCGATCGACGAAATCCTGGTTTCTTCGCTCGTCTCTTCTGTCTGCGAAACCCACATCCGAGAGTCCTACTCTGAAATTCTCCTCTCTCCATTAATTGAGTTGTGCCTAGAGACAGTGTTTTAAACTTTACGGATATCTATGTAGCCACCATACCATAAAACTGTTCCTGGTTCTATGGCAACAAACTGGGAGCAACTTTCACACGAGACAATGTCTTTTCGTTCCGCCTTTTTAATGACCGAAAAACAGCTCCTCCATCTGATTCACGAAAAATGCCGTCGGTAGATTATCCAGGTTGTCTCCCTTTGAAAATTTGCCTATCTACTGTGATGGTGGCACTGAAATAATTATATTTCCCCCTTCCCCTCTCTCTTCCTCTCCCTCTCTCTTCCTCTCCCCTCTCTCTTCCTCTCTCCTCTCTCTTCCTCTCCCCTCTCTCTTCCTCTCTCCTCTCTCTTCCTCTCTCCTCTCTCTTCCTCTCTCCTCTCTCTTCCCCTCTCCTCTCTCTTCCTCTCTCCTCTCTCTTCCCCTCTCCTCTCTCTCTCTCCTTTTCCCTCTCTCTCCCTCTCCTCTCTCTTCCCCTCTCCTCTCTCTCTGTCTCCCTCCCAGTCCCGGTGAGAGTTGGTCTTGTCGTCACCACATCAGGAGTCAGAGAAGACGAGCTAGTGGCGACAGCCTGCGCCACAGTCTTCTCTCCCCCGGTACTGGAGAGGGAGGTGTCAGTTATGGCCTCCTCACGCTCCCAGACTGCAGGTCAGGAAAAACATACCTCGTTCATCTTGTAGACTGGATCTGTGGTTTAGTCATATATTTCCTTGAGAACTCAGTTGTCCCACTCACTCAGAAACTTTGATATAACATTATTACATACATCTATGATGCTAGGTACCAGTGATATCTCCCATTACGGAAATGTAAAGCATTATTACTGTATTAATGTATGTCTCGTTGCAGATGAAGGAGATGACTTCCTAGGTATAGAAGGTAAAGAGCTGATATTCTCCAGGGACACCAGGACACTGTGTTTCAATGTGACCATCTTGAACGACGGAGATTGCGAAGGTCTCGAGTTTTTCTCTCTCTCCCTGACGTCCTCCCAGCAGAGGGTTGTGGTGGCTCCCTCCACTGGTTACGTCATCATCAGTGATCCTCCCCTCTGCAGTAGGTTTGCATTAAAACCCTTTGGACGCCACGGGGATGTGCTTAAATAAGCATAAATTGATTATAAAGTATTAGCGCCTAGTATTATAACCCATATATAAATTCTTATGGACTTATGGAGTCTCTGGGAACATTTATGTGTCGGTGGCTGGTTAAGTGGTTAAGTGTTAATTAACTCCCTATTTTATTTGCTGTGGTGGTTTTAGATGGCATTAAAGTTCCATCTTTTATCTGCAGTAGGTTAATGTTTCGCTATAGTATATGTTCTATTTTCAGTAGGTTTTAACAACTGTGCGGTGATCTATTATTGACTGCTATCACATTTCATATGCGATTTTGAACTGAACACATGAGCCGGAATTTCCGACCTTGGTTTTTTAGTACACCACTCATGCCTGCCCAACTAGGGTTGCCGTTTCTTCACAAATGATCTTAGATTATCTTGAAGCTACTCAAACCACATCATTCCTGTGTGTCTACGTTAATTCTGGGTGGTTCGACTATACATAACCTAGCACCCATGTCAAAGAACTCTACACACCTTGCTAGCTATGCGAGGCTACATCTTTACAGGGGAAACAAGGTGTGCAGGGTGCTTATGCACTAGTTCGGGGTGGTTCGACTATACATAACCTAGCACCCATGTCAAAGAACTCTACACACCTTGCTAGCTATGCGAGGCTACATCTTTACAAGGGAAACAAAGTGTGCAGGGTGCTTATGCACTAGTTCGGGGTGGTTCGAGCACATCGGTACAGTCGAACCACCCCGAACTTTTTTCTCCTTCCTCTCACCCAGCGTCGGTAGAGGTGGGTCTGGAGCAGCAGTCATTCACCACATACGAGGGAGCCGGCAGTACTGAGGTGTGTGTGAGGATAGAGAGAGGGGGTTTCCCCACCACACAGCCATTCAGTCTCCTCGTCTCCACGCAGGACGCCAGTGCCAGTGAGTCTGTCTGTTTCTTATCATGATCAAATCTTATCACAATCTAGTCTTATCACGATCAAATCTTATCATGATCAAATCTTTATCACGATCAGCACAAAGGAAGTGCACATCGAACAATTCAACAACACCAAGACACTTTTGGTTCATCATTTCCATAGTTACTTGATAAACAGACATACATATTTTCCTCTGTTGTTTATGTCACATGCAGCTGCCCCCTCTGATTATCTCGCTCTCTCTGATGTCGTCATCGGTCCCTTCACCGCCAGCAACACCGTCCAGTGTTTCTCCGTTACCATAGTGAGAGACGCCGTGTGCGAGGGAGAGGTTGACGAGGAGGGGTATCCCCGTCCGGAGGTGTTCAGTGCCATCGTCAGGAGCGAGGAAGGATCCAGTGTAGAGGTCAGGGGGTCGAGCAGCGTTGCCACTATCACCATTGAGGAGGCAGCTGAGTGCAGTAAGTATGGTGATACATTGGGACCTCCGATAAGACTGTCATAATTATTATCATTATGGAGAGGCTATACCTTCAACAGTTATCATAATCATGTCTCCTTAGTGTCTTAAGCTCATGGCGACACCAATTATCTCGTATACAATTTCACTAATGCGGCGTAAATGGTGAAGTAAGCGTTTCCCTGTCTCAGCAAATGAATTCCACTGCAAGAAATTTTGCAGATATGTCGTAATAATTATATTTCTCCCTCCATTAATGTACTATGTGTTGTCCCCCTGTCAGTTCCAGTGGTGGTGGGGTTCGATCAGGTCAGCTACACCGCCAGAGAGACTGACGAACCTCTCGGCGTTGTGGTTAACGTGTCGTCACCAGTCGTCCTCAGGAGGAACGTGACAATCACAGTCCAGACTGTACCTGGAACTGCCAGTCAGTATAGCTTACAAGGAAATGTGAATGCATCAGCATCGTCGAAAGGAAATTGTGTCTTAGCAAACGAATTTTGCAGCGAAAAAATTCCCCCAAAATTGCCCCGATAGCTTTTTAGTGTAGAGAGGTCTCCTGCAATAATGTGATGCATTCACAGCACATATGAAGCACCTGCGGACTGAATTGTATTATAATTATGACAAATGTTTTACAATTATATAATATTATGAACCTTCAAGTGCAACACTGTCTCTGAAGAACACAGTTTAATGTTTTCTCTCTCTCTGCTGTTATAATTTCAGCT